GCGCTTTAGCAAGAACAAGACTGACTAGTCCCGTCCCGGCACCAAGCTCGATGATACGCGGAGACGAGCCGAGGGTTTCTTGATTAAGTCCGAGCCGGTCTGGTGACGAACATAACAGGTCAGAGAAAACAATGGATGCACCCCAGCTCTGTAGGCCAACATCGGTGTGATCTGTGGAGGTTTGTGGTGCATCATTGAGTTGCACGTCTATCGAGACCTTTTCACGGATACCAGACTCCTTCAACCCAGGAGAACCCTGATTGGAGAATAACGATAGTTCGAAAGAAAATTCTCGTGTAATTCCGGAATCCTCTTCGTCATCTCCGTCCGCGAGTTTGGTGAACGAGGCAAGGATAAAGGAAGCTTTATCAACCGCCTGCTCGCGCTCGTCTTCATTACTCAGGGGTAGCTCTTCCGCGCTGGCGATTAAAGTAGTCAACCAGCGAATAGCGAAGTTACGCTCGAAGGTGTCTGCACGTAACTCGTCAAGATCATATTCCGAATCTATATCATCCTCGGAGACGTAGCCGGAGTCGATCGGTTGGACTAGTAAATCATCATGAGCCTTCCCATGTTCGAGCTGCGACTTAACTGCCCGTGGTAACGAGACGGGGCAGTACAACTCATAAAGGTTATCTAGAGCCGAGAATATTCGGTCCCTATTGAGTGCAGTCAACGAACGTAAAGGTGGCAGGCTGCTCGTAGGAGACAGCAGATGACCCGCTGGGTTCATTGGAGTCCTCGGTCAGACTCGCGGTCCGTCTCCGGGGTGGATGTCCTAACGAATGAAAAAAGGGAAAAACATGAACATAAGATAACGAGCGACTGGTGAGGGTTTTATGAATTAGGAAAAAAAAAGTGAGATGGATTATTACGTCGGGGCCTAGAACGGGCCCAACGGAGTGGATCTTGAATAAGACCCACTTGCCACACAACTTTTGTTACTATCGTGAAAAGTCTCGGCGATAGCGGTGAATGCGACGAATCCCCTGACTCGCCATTTCCCATGTGCTTCTTCCGTTGGCTACAATTGTTTTTACTTATCTTTACTTAGACAGAGCAAGATATTATAACAGGTAGGTAGGTTTATATATTTGATATTTTATCAATACTTTTTATAGATTAACTAACAACTTCATTAAATTAGGTATACAAGGTACATTCAAATCCATACGTTTCTAAATGCTTTAATCTAGGTATTACCGGTCTTCACGATGGCTGCATCCCAGCATATTCATAGTTATATCGCTCGATACGTCGAGTAAAGACGCATATTTTAGAAAATGAATTACTGCTTAGGTATCTGTCATAGTATGGTAGAATACTTATTGACCCCTATCTCTTCATGTAAGACTGTTCAAAGGTGTTTTATTTCCTATACTCCCATGTGCTATCCGTATCCGATCATTTCCTTTTCAATCAACTTGCAATACTGGGCTCTCTACAGGAATGAAACCTTTCTCTCACACTATTTAACCACCCATCACAGTTATGGTATGGACGTAGCGAAGCTTGCCTTTCTCGACTCGGAACTCGTGGCTGTCTGGAACAGTCGCAAAGTCGATGAAGATGTCAACAGCACCAAGAGTCTCGTCAATGACATAACGACGGTTGCTCAGATTGACTCCTGCAAATTAAGCGTTAGTGATCTATCAAATTCCCTCGTTGTTCTAAATAGATATGACTTACCATTGGGAACACCGACATCACACCTATCGTCGGCGGATCCAGAGCCAGTGTAAGCACCACCCTCAAGACGTGCGCAAGGGTGTCCCCAAGGGACTTGTACGGACTTGTCGTTGAAGAGGTCGGCGTAGGCATCGGCTGCGGCCTGGATCACCTCGCGGCTGTCGCGCTGGTCCTCCGGGATTGGGTCCCACTTCTCCTGGGATGCCCAGTAGAGGGTACCGGTAGCGTTGAAAAGCCAATCGCCCTGATCAGTAACGAGAGAGCTGATATTGGCGATCTTTCCGTCGGCGAAGCGCAGTTGCGTGCCTATGACGTACGGGTGCGCCTTGTCTGTGACAACGATCTCGGTGTAAGTTGCGCATTGGGTGGTGTCGTGGAGACTACGGTTGAAGTCAATATTGAGCGCGTGAGACAGTATTCCAGTCTTGATATCAGCCGTCTTAAATGCTTCCAAGTAGACCACTGTGTCGGCCAGAGGAGCTACCGTGTCGGGAGTTCCCGCAGTCTGTGCTGCAAGGAGACTATCAGTAGCAGCAATGAGGTCTTCGCGGGTGCATTGTGCTACGGCCTGAGCTGCAAGGAGCCCTAGAGCGACGAGAGTGAGTCTCAACATCTTCAATATTGCCTATGGGAACTGGTACCAAGTAGAAGAGGAAGGGAAACTTGAGATAACTGCCATTCTTACATCTGGGGCGAGTCGGGGTAGCTCCTCCTAAATATGAATTATTACATGATGTCAAAACCGGCAAAGAAGATGATACTGTCGTACTCGAAGAGAATAGCCATATGAATTTTGTGTGGGGTTGTTTCGGCAATTCCACAGAGCTGGAAGATCATCATCCGCCCATCAAGTCTAGAAACCAGACGATTAGCACCTAGTAGAAGTCGTTGCCACTTTCGTCACCTCGATTAAGACTCAACTTAAATTTAACGAACCCTATTACTTAATATGTTCCAAGAAGTGCCTGTAGTTTTATGTTCTTCTAACTATGGGGAAAGGATGTATGGAGATAGGCAATGGTAAACGATATACCCGAGAGCCGGGAAAGATCCATCTTCATAATTATTCTATCTTTACCTCAAATGACTTGAGGCGATTAATCTATTCTTAAATAGTATTATAAAGAAAGCTCATATCCTTTTGTACTTCATATCCGTAAATGAAGATTAGGGCAACTTAGGTTTCTTAGACTGTTTTCTAGATATTCGTCACAAGAGTATGTCGTTATCTTCTTCCCTTCCCTTAACTCCTTGAAATGTCTTTGGTTAAAGATTGTTAGAGATTCCTTCTGGGTTAAATTTGTGAAATTTATTTATTTGAAAATTCAAGTGTTGTGCTTGAAAGGACAATGAAAAGGGAGTGGTAAAGGTACCCGGGGGAGAAAACGAATTGGTTTCTATTTCGATGGCTAAAAAAAGGCTACAATTCTATTTTATAATTACCTATATTTGAATATATTTCACATTTGCTAGATTTTAAGTGATGCTATTCAAATTGCATCCGTATAGTATCTAGAAAGCTGATCGTCATTAGCGCACGGAACTCCAGGCGTAAATAGGCCCTATGCCCGCTACGCTGGTCCAAACGCCTCTTCTAGAATACAACGCGTGTCCCACTACTAACAAATGAATTTTTTTTTTTTTTTTTTTTTTTACAATATAGACCACGAAGAAATGGAAAACCAAAAGCCAGAAGTGTACAGGCTGCAGCTGTGCGACCGAGGACTGCATCAGAGAAAGTTAAGCTTACGAATACGAAGGGTATTATGACAAGAAATGAATCATTGAGTAAGAAGCGCAAGGCGGGTATGTCATTCGAAGAGGAACTCGCAGCTCTCAATCGTAACCTAGACGCCATCGTTGGTTCTGATATTTCGAAGACGAGATGATGCTTAGTTACGACATTGTGCGTAATTGGATCGGAAAGTTACTCGAGGTCAATATAATGAACAAGATCGAATTTTCTCAAGTTATTGAGTGCAGTACAAATACCCTGAATTAGGTACTTTTCTGAGATAAACCGAGCCCAAAAAATGGCCAGAATAGTTTCGCATATCACAACACTTAGACATGGCTAAAGCAACGCCAAACAGCGAAGTCAGCGAAGTCAGCGATGCCGAATACGAACAAGAAGTAAACGCAAAAGGCCAATTCTACGAGTTCAAGCATATGCAAGTAGCGTCCCAAGGTGTCATCAATGGCGGCTCTATTCTCGGACATTAAGCACATCTGCTTGGACGATGAGGAGATAGACTCATGCGACGAGATTCGACGGAAGATCAATGCGCATCTGGGAAACCCCGAGAGTAACACAGTCATAATTATGTCGTGATCTGTATGCACAGCTCAATGCGCCCACGGTTAAGTGCATCCAGTCCAAACAACTTAACGACTTCCGTCGTGGCTACGGTGCTAAAACAGGAACTAAGAGCACTGTATTCTATACCGCATATGAGGTATATTTCGAAAAGCTACGTCTTGCACAGGGTAAGCCTAATACGAAGCAGGGCCTGGATATGGAGGATATCTTGGTATGGAGAGGAGGGTTCGATCGTGAGACTGATAATAGGACCGTGTAAGAGTCGTCCGTCTAGAGGACTTTGCAGATTTATACAGGAGGTACTTACTAGATTCTAGGTTCGTTGGATTAGCAAGCTCGAGTCCCTACGTTTACTCTGATCGTTATGGGCGCATTATTTCGACGCCCGTGTACCTATAATGCGACTTGAGAAGGAGTCCTAAATCATGCCAGGTAAAATCCCGATCGCAAAGATCATATCTTTCATTCTTCTAAGTCCACCCTTTCTAATATCTAATATAACTAATGCATTAATGTTAAGGACATATCTTGGAGTAGAACCGTCTGCAGTCACTACACCCGTCCTCTTCCATATATTACGTATGAAATAAGAAAGAAAAAGGCTCTATATCTTCTCATTTCTAGGTCGCCTTGGGACTTATCATTGTCAAGATCCTATGGTAATACTGGAGTCCCACTCCAGTAAGAGCAGCCGCAATGACCACTCCGATATAGGCTGATGGATTGTAGTAGCTATGGTTCCTTGATAACGCATTCTTTGACTTCTTCCCCTTGACAATAGGATGGTGGGCGTAAGGTATTTTCAAGTTTTTGGTATCAGACTTCTCTTCCAGCCAATCCAGGACAGGGGCACGGGAGACGACTGGCCCATATATGCGGTTTGTGCTGTATACTCCGAAGCTAGTGTAAGGGATGATGTATTTAGTCATGATCTTATCCATTGGGCTGAGCCACGCGTAAGCTCGAGCACGACGCATGGACATGTCATGAACTATTGGCTCATCCTTTTCCGCTCCTCCTGGTAGTCGGCGAATACCGCTTCTAAGGCTTTCGTATCCGGTGACCGAGTAGTCTCGAGTAAGCGTCGGAGCTTATTCACGAGGACAACTACATCGGCCAAACCGCTATTATATCCTAATCCGGCGTGAGGCTCTAGTTTCCGAATAGCATCACTTGCGAGGACGATACGATTCCAATACCATTTGTCTACACGACCCTCCTCCAGGTTGATCATACCAAAGTTTCCATCCTGTAGGCCGAAAACGTCGCGCACTCTCATGCCGGGAGCGGTGTACAGATGTCCCCATCTCTGTATGGCCTCCTCCTTATCCTTTTCGGTATATTTGATGCGTTCTGACGTAGGTTTATCAAGCGCTTCATACACGCCGAACCATGCTAGAGAGTTACCAGTGAGAAGCTGAGTTGATACACGTCCTGACGCGCATTCGTGATTGACATTATTTGGTAATGTCGGAGGAATAGGTATACTTCCAAAGACCATCCTGTATGTGGTGACGTAGGGACTCTTAGGGGTTTCCGATATGCTCGGAGCTGCCCTACCCTCCTCCATCGCCTGCATGCATTGGCGAACTCTACTGTGAACGCCGTCTAAACCTATCACAATGGAGCCCCTTTCCACGGTACCATCGGTACACTCGACGACCACTCCATCATCTGACACGTTTACTTTGAAGACGTGCTTCTTGACCTTGATTCGTGCTTTCGCACTGTCAGGCAGGCTTTGATATAAGGCTTCAATGAAGAGCGGGCGATGAGTAACCTTTAATCCGTACCCGTGGCTAGATCACGATAACTATAAGCTTGGTTCCATACTCATTACCTTGGTTTTGGATTGACGTACTTTTTTTTGATCAACTCTCCGGGGTTCCACGATGTGAATATGGACCCGTCGTCGGCAGACATGGTGACTCCATTGTCGATAGGGTTAAGAACAGGCTCCAATTTATCTTGTAGATCTAATTGGTCAAAAATGCGAAATGTCGGCGGCCACAAGCTTAGGAGAGAGCCAAGTTCGGGTGTTAAATTCTCATGTCGTTCAAGTATAACAAAGTCGATATCCGTTTGGATAATATATGTGCTGCAGTAAGACCCACGAGTCCGGCTCCGACAATTACGATACGAAACGGTTTCTCTACAGTAGCCATCTTTTAACTCGGTTATAGTCTCTTCTCTTCGGATATAACACAACGGCTTGCGGTTGATTCGAGATGATCCTAGCAGGTCTACGGAGGTGCAGAGGGAACACATTAAAAAAACCCAAAATTTGTCATTATACCCACCCCCACGATAACCAATTTTTTTAAAATCGATAAGCGAAGATATGATATAACTAAGGAAAGAAAGCGAGAAAAAGAAACGGGAGAGAGGAAAAGGGAGAGAGAAGGGGAAAGGAGGGAGAGAAGGGGGGGGAAAAAGAGAAAGGGGGGGAGAGGAGAGGAGAGGGAGGGGAGGGAGGGGGAAAAAGAAAAGGGAGGAGGGAGAAAAGGAAGAAAGCAGGGGAAGAAAGGAAAAGAAGACGAGAAGAGAAACGGGGGAAGGGGGGGGGGAGGAAGGAGGGACGGAAGAGGGAGAAGGAGGGGGGGGAGGGGGGAGGAAGGGGGGAGAAGAAGGGAGGGAGGAAAAGGAGGGAGGGAGGGAGGGAAGAGAAAGAAGAAAGGGGAGGGAAAGGAAAGGGAAAAGGAAGAAGGAGGGGAAGAAAGGAAAAGAAAGAAGAAGAGAAACGGGGGAGGGTATTTTAAATTAAAAAATTATAAAAAATTAATAAAATAATTAATAAACGGTATAAATTAATAAATTTAAAACGTATATTATTTATTTTTATATATTTTATTATTTTTATTTATTTTATTTATTTTATTTATTTTATTTATTTTATTTATTATTTATTTATTATTTTATTTATTTATTTATTTTATTTTTTATTATTTATTTATTTATATTTTATTACGTAATTTTAATCACGTGTTATTTAAATATTTATTTATAATAAATGTTTATAAAAAAGTTTTTTTATTATTAAATTTTATGCAATTAAAAACTTATTATTTAATATATATCATGGCTATAAACTTACCCTATTCATTTAAAGGTTTATATGTAATAAACAATATAGTTTTAATCGGTTTTATTTTGATTTACCCCCTTTACCCTTGGGGTCAGTCCAATAATTTTAGCGTTTTTTTAATGTGTTCCCTCTGCACCTCCGTACAGGTCTTATTCGAAACGTTCTAGAAGTAGACTCTTTTCCAAAAGCTTGCCTATTAAAATATATTTTAACGCGTCGAAGGTGACAAGATCCCTGTCGAACGCACGTATCTCACTTTAGCCGGTGGTCAAGTGGATATGGTGCAAAAGTGGTGAAGGCCAAGTTAGTA